CATCAAATTCCAGGAACTCCACATCACAAAGGACCTAATGTGGACCATTAACACCTCCCACCTGGTGAACAAAGCCCAGGAGCACAACAGCGCATTCTCTGTGATTGCATCAGACAGTGTGGTACACCAGAGAGCCAAAGGGACTTGGCCCGTATAGTAAAGCTTACTCAGAGGATTGTGGGAACCAGGCTCCCACATCTACATATGGTTTATTCCAGTCGCTCACACAAGATGGCCAGAAACATTATGAAGGACTCAAACCACCAAGGTCACAAACTGTTTGTCACCCTCCCATCAGGATGCATACCAACAGACAGAGGAACAGCTTCTTCCCCATATATATACACAAACCTGTACTCATGTCTTTGTGGGGACTCTCCATTCATTTCTATGGGGAAAACTCTAATCACAACACGACCCTTAACTCCTCCCCAGCCCAGAATATAGGACATTTGGCATTTTTATGTTTTTTGATAGCAGTCAAAAAACATAAGTTTTTTATAAGAGTTTTATAAGACTGAGGTTATCCTTATGGCGACTGGAAAAATGGTCCCCATAACGTCAAAATAACATGTTATAAAAGGTATACCTGGACCACCCACACACACACACACAAACACCTGTTTACACTGTTTTTCTTTATCTTGTATTTTACTTTGTAATTTTATCTTGTATATTTTCTCTGAGTGCACTCAAACATTCTTCTGTCAGCACGTTTGGTATGTGTTCCCACCACAAACAGGTTGAAATTGAATAACGACACACTTTGGTTGACAATAAAACTCAGACAGCTCTGGCAAGAGAAGCGATTGTGAAAGGTTGAAAAACAGCTCTTCAGCTAACGACCCTGCGTCATTGTGGAAAGGTTGGCAAGACATCAGTTACAACAGACTATCCTGGTACATTGCAGAGAAACATCATTTGGCTGATGACCTGGATTTGCTTTTCTACATGTTTGATCCCCCCACTCCTATACAACTGTCCAGTTACCCACCCCAGCACTGATGATCTGTGAAACAGATGCGTGACAGCTCACCCAGAGACAAAAGATCAGGGAAGCACTGGGTCCAGACAGTGTCACACCATCCAGCCTGAAAGCCTGTGCTGATCAACTGGCTCAAGTCTTCATCTAGACCTTCTAGGTGCAAACTGTACGGAGTTCCTGCCTGCTTCAAACATTTCACCATTAAACCTATTCCCAACAAATCCTGCATAAAATCACCAAGCGACTACATGCCTGTCCCTCTGAAATCTGTGGTCCCAAAGACTTTGGCAAGACTGGTTGCGCGTTGCGCCTGCGTTATTATAATTACAGCATAAGGGTTGCCAAAATTACTACTTATTTGATGACGATGATGATGATGATGAAACCCTTTATTGCTGTTGCAATACACCATGTCACTAGTCACAAGTACCAGCGAAAAAACTGGCCATCAACCCGACCATACATATACTGTACACAAACATCACATTATAGGGGGTAGACAGGTCAGGAAGACAGGGGATATAGGAAGAACAGAGAAAACAGAATTACATGAGGAGAGAGGAGGAGAATAAAAAAACAGCCCCCAGACTGTACTCCAGTAGGGAGGACATAGTAGGAACAGAAAAAACACCTCAGCAACATAAGCACATGGTCACTACACCTTACAACATAAAAAGTTGTGACTTGCAACAGGGGAGGGGAATGGGGAGGTGGAGGTAGCCCAGCATAGACAAACAGCCATTCGGTCCTGCAGCCATAGCGGCTGGTCACAGACCCGCCTGTTCACGCTGAGGCTATGAAGCGGCGAATGCATGGGATGGGGGGAGGGTGCGGTGAGTGCATATCTGTACGTATGTATATGTGTGTGTGTATCCAGGTGTCCTTGGGATTGGGGGAGAGGAATGCAGGAGAGTCTCACTGCCTTGTTATTCCGGGGGAGTTGTTAATTCAGCAGCGGCTTTGGCCGAGGCCAATGCTGATTATAGGGGAGCCAAAAGCAGATAGGATAGGGTTGTTTGGGTTTCCGGGCAAGAAGCTGTAATTTCACAGCTCTTCTAATGTCCACGCTGGTCTCCGCCATCCAAAATCCTTTGCAAAGCTGTGAGCTTCTCTGTGATGTTATCCAATTTGCGATCAATAGTCACAGTGATGTTAACGTAACAGTTTTCTTGAATTGTACGGACTGCAGGGTACAGTTTTGATGTGGCTAATTTTAGGTTTATAATGGAGTGATATAGATTTGCTGTAAGATTCCTTGCATGAGCGTTAGTGTCACGCCAGATGTGTGACAGTTGGCAACCCTGCAGCATATTGTCAGTTTCAGTGATTAAATCGTAATTAATTTGAATTGGGAGCATTAAATGTAATGGATATTTCACTTGACAATAACACATTATTAACATGGGCATACAACTATTTCAGTTGTGACTATGTTTTATCACCGTATAACGTCATACCGACACATCCCTAGCTTGCTTGCTTTTTCTGAAATGTTTTTTTTCTGTTTTTCATAATGTATTTCACTAAGAGTACCACTGGCAATTCTGGATTCTCCCCATATCAAAGACAAAAGCGGGACAGCAAGACAGCACTACAAGTCTGTACTAGCGCGCGCTGTACGGCCAATCAGTGCTTATTGGCCAATGACGTGATGGTTCATCCATGATGCGGGGTGCGAATGCTACTGTGGGCGTGGTTTGCTCTGAAGTCGGGGCTGCAGGGCGTGGCTTTTTAAAAAGTCGGAGGTGCGGGGCGTGGTTATCCCTGAAGTTATTTGGAGATAAAATGACGCCCCCGACGCATCACATCACTAAACATGACGCTGTTACCTGGAAACACGATACGGGTTGTTTACAACCGCCAAATTCTGCTGAACATTAGGCATAATGTTCCGGCAAACGTTTATATTCCTAATTTACCTGAAGAAATTGTACGAAACACTACACCAGAAGACAAGGACCATCGACGCACCCGGCGAAGGAAGGGGCGGCGAAGCAGGGGACGGCGAAGCAGGGGACGGCGAAGCGGTGTGCTAACCAGGTTGCGAGAGCGGACATCCCCATCTTCCATTCCCGTTATCTTCCTCGCTAACCTCCAGTCTCGGGAAAACAATCTGGACGAAATGCACTGCTTTATAGACTCTCGAAAGGACGTTCGAATGTGCAGTGTGTTCTGCTTTACCGAGACCCGTTTCGGACGAAATACTCTGGAGAGCACCGTACAACCCGAGGGCTTCAGCGTACACCTCTCGGATCGCACCTCAGACAGCACTGGCAAGGTAAAGGGAGGCGGTGTGTGCGTCTTTATTAATAACAACTGGTGCACTGTTGTGCAAACGGTTTCCAAGTCTGGTTCGCCATCAAGTGCCAGCCCTCCAGCATGCAGTGCGAGTTCCCCTCAGTGCTGCTCACCGTTGTTTACATCCCGCCGGAGGCTCCGGCTGCGGCTGCGCTGGACGAGCTGTGCGCCGCCATCTGTAAACAAGAGAGCCAGCACCCGGGAGCCATCTCCATCATCGTCGGAGGCTTCAGCCGCTGCGACTTGAACAAAGTCCTCCCCAAGTACCACCAGCACGTCACTTGCCCAACTAGAGGCGACCTGACTCTCGATCTCTGCTACACAACATTCGAAGGTGCCTACAAGTCCGTCGCTCGTCCTCCCTTCGGCCATTCTGACTACTCGTCGGTGCTGCTGCTCCCCGCTTACAAGGGGGACCTTGTAGCCTGAGACGAGGGGAGTGTAGTGCTGGACACCCGAGTCCAAACCCAAAGCACAGGAGTTTTGCTATCTCAGCCCGCTGATCTGCAGCCTTCCCTTCGTCCTGTACTACGCTGCTGCTTGTCCCGGTGGTTCCCCCATGCACTGGTCCCCCTACCAACAGCAATGGCGTCCAATAGAGCTTGAAACACCCACTACCCTCTGAGCTATTAGGGATGCATTCACTGTATATATATGTGTATTTGTAATCATTTAATTTCACAAAATACACAGTTGATGTAAAATATTCTTACACAAGGCACAACAAAGCCTTATTTTAAATGGGAAGATTTCTGATTTTCTTCATTGAAAAATATAACCCTCACTTTTGGCATCTTGAGTGGAACACTGAAAGTCAGTCAATACAGAGCTGTAATAGCACAGACTCGTGGCCTAGAACTGGCGTTTCCTTGTTCTTCAGTTCAGTTACAGGCCAGACACACAGGACTAATTAGTTCCTAACCCAGTTCCTAACGAACTAATTATCGAAGACCAAAGCATGCAGAAGCCTCAAACCATTTTGTACTGCATCCTACTGGACTGCAGAGTTGAAGGAAGTGTTAACCAGTAAAGGGAGTGAGTGCTTATTTTTACAGCTGGGTGCTACCTGAAGGACGTTATGTTGAGTCCCAGGATCAGGGTCATTGGAATTGGAATCTGCAGCATTATTTTTAAACTTATTTACCAGTTGCCCCAAAAAAGTTAGTCAGAATATCTATTAAGAACCAAGTGTGACATGTAAGCATGGCAATAAGATATTTGATCCAAAAGTTGAATCACCTTCATCAATAGAGCCCTTTCTTCTGTTGATAAGTCAGACCAATTTCTTAAGACCTAATCTGGTTTTATTAAAATCAAAACCATTTGAAAGAAGTGCATTTTCTGTCCGCCAAATTCCTCCTAATCTACCAAGACATCATTTTAAAATAAAGCCACATCTGTAATATTTGTGCCAACTCATTTATGTCAGTAAATTTCTGTATTTAAGGTGAAAGAACAGGGTTAGCATCAATTGCAATCAAAAGTGCAAAACAGTATATATATATATATATATGTTCGTGTACATGCCGGAATTTAGGACCTCAGGCTATTCAGTTTTTAGATCATTGTGGTACTTTGTTATCTACAGATGTGCAAAAAGTATTGGGACCATTCCAGCTGTTAAAAAAATCTGTTTTCCAAGTAATTATTGATATAATGCAATGTGCTTTTTCACATTAGTCCCCAATCAGTAAACTTAATGAAGCTCCACACTTGATTTTGTATTGCAAGAGAAAATTAAAGTTTATTGATCAGCGTTATACTTCAACAACACAACACAAATGAAGTAACTGAAAATACGTGATTATTTTTATCTGTAGTAGAAAAAGTAGTCACTGAAAGGTTAGAAATGCTTATTTTTAGAGGAGCGAGTTCAGTAAAACCTAAAATGGCAAAAGCTTCATTCAGCTTTGAGCAGTATATACCGTTTATATCATTCACAGCATGTTTCGTGGCCTATTGTGTACATACTGAATATGTATTAATGTAAATCAGAGCAAATTTACGGTATTATTTCATTGATTGTTCTTAAAGCCTTCTGTATCATCCCTTAGTGCCAGACGGATTAGCACGGACATTTTACAGTATGGGTCTGTTCATCCATTGCTCAGGATTTTTGGCCGCCGCTCTTGGAGGTGTCACTACCAGTAGCCATAAACTCCTCGATCTCCTGCACTGTGCGAGGGACACAGGTGAGTAGCTCCACGCCGCCGGCTGTGACCGCGATGTTGTCCTCGATGCGCACCTGCAGAGTTTGGAGCATTCGCCGTTTAAACACCAGCTGCTTAATGTCTGCTTTTATCCAACACGATCCTGCCAGCTTAATCAAGTTTCACAATCATACAGCAGCAGGACTCTTGCAGTTTGACTGATTATAGCTGTGCCTATGTGGCTGCTTAATGTCCTGCATGTTTAGAGTTATTTTATTGACCACATGCTTGGTTGGTCACTCCTGGGGAAGGCATGTGCTCATCAGTCACACTTTTTCAGTTTGATATTATGAGGAATGGGGCAGGTCTGGGCACCTAGACAAGCAAAGCTTTGAGAGCCGTAGTTATCAAGATTACTGTACTCGTTCTTGTTGGTTCTTCTTCAGATAATCCAATAAGCAAATCATAGCAGGAGGTCCTTCAGTTATCACAATGGCAAGATATGGGGGCGTGTTGGACAATGTCTCCAGGTAACACATGAAGTATGTGAAACACAAACCAGAATGATGTTACCTACTACCTATACTGCTAAATATGGACACATTATCTAGTAACATCTTCACTAACTGTTTCTAGCGAAGTAAACTGATAAGTAACCTCAAAGTCAAGCATGAGTGCTGATGACATATCATCCATTATGATGATGATGATGATGATGATGGCGGTTCATGCATACTAACCCCTCCAAATCCACGGAAACGTGCCAGAACATCCCTGTCGATGAAGCACTGCTGGGCAGGTGAAGCCAGGGCCTGGTCCAGTAGGTGGTCAATGAAGTAGATGCCAGGTTCGACCGTCAGGACCATTCGTTCCAGGACCGCACGGCCCATACGCAGGCTCTTCAGACCCGGCTCATCAATCCGCACCACACCCTGGGCAGCCGGACACAGTGGAGGGCGTGAGCTCCTTCCACACAGCCAGGAGCTGAACCCCATTCAGCTTTTACACCCCAAGGTCCTATACTGATCCGACTCCCACTGATTGGTTTACTATGAATGTACAGTATGTGGTAGGTCTAGTAGGAGACCTTGCTGAAAATCTTATGCTTCTGATATTGATCTGCCAAGGTATATTAATATTAATCTGTATGAATTTCCACCACCTTCAAATCACTATTCAGAAAAATCAATGACAACTACAACTGCCAACTATTTATAGAAAGGCTGGCACCTGCAGTCCTGACTTCTTGTAATACTTGTAGAACATCTGAACGTCTTTCTTCACATTATTTTCTTCTGGCCAGATTTTATCATAGCCAGTAACTTCAGAGATTGACAGTGTCCATAAAGGGATTCGTTGTCTCTGAGCCACACTGACCTCTGGATATCCTCCCACGTCATGCACGTCGATGCCCATCAGGTGGCCCAGGCCGTGGGGCATGAAGACGGCACCCATGTGCGCCTTGAGCATGTCGTCCACGCTCCCCTTCAGAATTCCGATCTTTACCAGTTCCTCCAGCTGCACACGATCGGTCAGGCGATGCATGTCTGGCCACAGCACACCTACGGACACATTCAGCAGGTGAGGCATGAAGTGAAATGATGCTCGCACAACCTTTTTAACAGTGACAGTCAATTTTACAAATAAAATACTCTGACGAGCTAACAAAATCGCAATGGTATAATATGCCACTCACCCTTGGTCCCCTTGGTATATTTTACTGACAACAATCGGCCCATGAAGTAAAGCCATTACCCATCCCATCTCCTGATCGACCTGGAGACCCCTGCTGTACTGTCAAAGCACTGCTCATTCAGTCTGGTTGTCAGTAGACTGTGCTAAGTGGTAACTGACATTGATGACCTCTAGTGGTCAAGACAGGAACTCCACTGGGGGGGGGGGCTCACCTGGTTTGATGGCGGCTAGGGCGGCACGGGAGGACTTGAGAACAGCCTCGTAGATAGCCTTCTGGTCATCGGTGAACTTCCCGTTTGCCGGGAAAGAGCAGGTGATGTCGGAACTGTAGCAGTAATACTCTCCACCCATGTCAAAAAGGCTGCGATGGAAGCAGAGCAGGTTGTTTAAAAACAACCAGAAATGCCACCACAATTAGTTAAGATTGTCTACATTAACAAGCCACGAGAAACTAGGTTTAGATTGAAACTAGGGATGGACCGATCCATATATTTTCAGTTCCGAACAAATTCCGATACACAACGTCAATACCGATACAGATTCCGATACAAGAGCTCCTTTTACTTTAATATTTTATGTAATAAATATACAATATATATTTAGAGTTTATATACTATAACTATGTATAATCTAGTAAATACATACAAAGATGTATGCCAAAAAATCTTTAATTAGGTTACTACAAACATACATAACGTAGTTCCACCTCATTTGTACGTCTTGTTTTAAGTGTTTTTGCTGCATTTTACAGTATTTTCCAAGCGAGGATACGCAAGTGGCGAATGCTTAAAAAGCCCCACAATTTTTCTCCCACTGGCAACAGCGTCACTTACACGCCGCTGCGATCGCAGCCCGTCGTGCATCACAAGTTGTACCGAGAGCACAAAACCCCATGGTGGCAACTCCATAACCATCCATTGCTTTTTTCATATTACTCGCGTTGCCGTGTACAAAGCGTGCGCTTTGTTTAGTGGGATTTTCAACTAACTCTGTTTTTACAAAGATTACAAATGGCGGTGCTACTAGTTGTTAAACGCATAAAATACTTCCAGATCGGCACTCTCTCATCTGTTACTATGCTCCTCCTGCTGCAAAAGGTATGCGTGTGACGTCACAGCGCTCAGTGGTTAAAAAAAAAAAACTTAGTGACAGCATTAGCGCTCAGTCTGAATGACGCAAAAAACACATCTAAAATGGGAAAGAGCTGCCGTGCGATTGATTGTACAAATAGATTTCACACGAACTAGAAGCTGTCTTTTTAGGTACTGCTAAGAACTAAATAAGTAAGTATCGGTGGTGGATCGGTCACGTATGGCCGACACCCGATCCGTGAAACAGGTCTCGATCGGTGCCGATACCAGTCCGAATATTGGATTGGTGCATCTCTAGTCGAAACACAGATCACTGTAGTGACTTAGCTGGCATGTTGAAAATGTTGAGATTAAAAGCCTCCAACATTACCACTGATAATTAAAACTACCATAATAGTCTCAGGTGGCTTCACATATTCTTCAATTGGCCCCAAGACCTGATACAAGAACTGACTGGAAATCTTAACACCGTGTAGGTTTGGGGAAATGAAAAGGCTGGGAATTTTGGAATTCTGCGTGGCAATTCCTGTCGGCGGAAATATGCAAACAGCTTAGATGAAACTGATACCCCAATAACAATTACGTTCTTACACAATTTAAACAAGACCACATTTTAAAGCATAGCCACCAGAGGGCAGTATAACATCGACACTCTCCAAATGTGGAAATTATTGGTATTAGTTACTCCAATTAAGAATTTTGAACGACGGAAGCATTGTCTTCTTGGTAAGAGAACAAGGATATACATAGCACAAAAGCAAAGAAGTGTAACAGTTTGTTTTAGGTCAAAAGAAAAAAATAATCCAGACTTTGAACCACGTGAGAAGTGACTTACCACATGTCGCCATCTGCAATAGCCTTGTTATTGGGGGCTCCAGCATGGCCGTAGTGCAAAATAGAGGAATTCTCTCCCCTAGAAGAGTTTGTGATACAAGTTAATAACTTTCAGATTTTCAAGTGTAAAACAGAATTACTTAAGTCTACAGGAAAAAATCAAGGGTGGGTAATTTGCCCAAACAGCACTGGAGAAAATGTGATGGTGAAGACCACGTAGTTGTAGATTAAAATTAAAACTGAGTTGCTACCTGGAAGGTGCCGACCGGAATTTTCTGCTGCCGTGATGACATTCAAGCATCCAATTACGTAAAAATTGTAACTGACCCGTCACCCTAAACGACAGTGTTTACCAAAACATGCAAATCTATTTAAAATGCATACTGAAAGAAAACAAAAGGAACATCAGAATCTGCTGGATGGACTCCTGCAATTCCTCAATCAGCCTATAAGATACATGGAGTCTGTCTGTGTGGCGTTTCGGCAGAAGTGGGGGTAGCTGTTAGCATTTAGCTAATCATCACCCGCTGTGTCTGGATCTGCTGGTGTGCTTTCAGTATGAATATGGAGCCATTCTCTGTAGTGATCAGCCACTGGGAAGACTCTTCAATTACTACGAGCTAATTTCAGATAGTCAGCTGGGATGTTTTTCTGCCTTCAAAATAACTATAATAATTGAATAATTAAATACAATAATAATCTGAATGCATGATGACCATCACTGGGCTGGTATTTTGTCAGGGATGGGGGGGGGCCTGAAAACAGTCCCGTAGGATGGATGCCGTTCGCACAAATAGTCGGAGATGCAGAGTAGGCGTTTGACCCGGACAGCTGTAGCACCAAGCCTAAGGAGGGCCACGCAGACAAGCGGATGCTGCAGCAGGTGTTAGGGCACATAGAGTCGATGAGATAGAGCAGTAGCCTTCTGATGAAGGGAGGGTGAAAGAACAGTGTGGGGGCGGGACTTACAGAAGATACATTATAATCTAGGGACGGGACTTACGTTCCACAGATACAGGCATAAGATGTGTGCCTCATGCCTCCATGGGTGTAGCAGTAGTGCTGGAAGAGGCTGAAAGACAGCAGCAAGAGGCGGTTATCTTGGGTGGAGCAGGGACTGATACACACATGACCTGCTGAAATGCTGCTCTACAGGTCAACAGGAAGTACTGCGCTTCTCTTACCAGAAACTCGTCTCCCTGGATTTAATGAACAACCAAAAGGTCCCAACACACGTCACCCATCATGGCAACTGCTGTTTACTGCCGTTAAATATACCCTTGCTACAAGTCCTAGGTCTATAAAGTGTAAAAGTAAAATTAATTCGTATTCAATGGAATACGAAGAGTACGAGCCCTGGCGTGTGACAGCAGTAAAATCGAGAGTGACACAGAGGAGTTGACCAGATCTGTGGGGGAGCTTGATCCTACCCAATACACACTCCACACACGTGCCTTCAGATTTGCAAGCCAGGGTGTTCATTCTGATGTGGAAGAAGCATCAACCAATCAAATCTATGGAGTTATATATAGTTGGCATGTGGAGAAACAGTGTCATCTGGTTGCCAGCAAAGCATGTTGCAACATTCCCGAGAGGAAAGGAGCATTTTACATACAAGGACTATACACTGATCAGCTCTAACATTAAAAGTACCTCGTGCTGCCTAAATAGCTCTGAGCTATCGAGGCATGGACTCCAGAAGACCTCCGAGGGTGCCCTTGGTATCTTAAGATCCTTTAAGTCCTGTAAGTTGTGAGATGGGGCCTCCATGGATCGGACTTGTTTGTCCAGCACATCCCACAGATACTCGATCAGAATGAGATCTGGGGAATCTGGAGAGTCAACACCAGGAACACTTCTTCACGTTCCTCCAACCATTCCTGAACAATTCTTGCACTGTGGTAGGGCTCATGATCCTGCTGAAAGAGGCCACTGCCTTGGGGGAATACCACTGCCATGGAGGGTTGTACTTAGTCTGCAACAAGGTTTAGGTATGTGGTATGTGCCAAAGTAACATCCACACGAGTTCCAGGACCCAAGGTTTCCCAGCAGAACATTGGCCAGAGCATGACACTGCTTCCACCGGCTTGCCTTCTTTCTGTAATGCATTGTTTTACCAGGGGAAGCATTTGTAGATGACACACATACCCTGCTGTCCACATGATGTAACAGAAACCATAACTCAGCAGACTAGGCCACCTTCTACCACAGCTCCATGTTCCAGCTCTGATACTCACAAACCCACTGTAGGCGCTTTTGGTGGTTGACAGGGGTCCGCATGGGTTCTCTGACTGGTCTGCGGCTATATTGCCCCATACACATCAAGCTACGATGCACTGGTGTGTTCTGACACCTATCTTAGCTAGTAATTTTTTCAGCAATTTGTGCTCTTCAGTAGCTCTTCTGAGAGATCAGATGAGATCAGACAGGCTAGCCTTCACAGCCCATGGGCATCAATGAGCCTTGGGCGCCCATGATCCCTTTGCTAGTTCACTGGTTGGCCTTTGGTAGGTATTGCCCACAGCATAGTAGGAACACCCCACAATACCTGCTGTTTTGGAGATGCTCTGCTAAGGGCCAAATTGTGATGGCTAGACAACTGGTCAAAATCGCTCCTTACGCTTTTTCCAGCTTCCAACACATCAACTTGGACTGACTGGTCACTTTCCTAATGAATAATGTAGTGAAATAATCAGTGTTATTTACTGCACCTGTCTTTGGTGCACAGTGTTGTGGACGATCGGTGTATAAGTACACATACACATATCCGATTCCTGTCCAGGCATAACATTTTACTTGTAAAAAGGCAGTGAAATCTACAAATAATGGATACAAAAGCCTTGCCTCAGGGCAACAGTGAACTTAATTGGACAAATCAACGATTCCACAGGTTCCAAAGCATCCCTGTGTGATACTGATACTGATACCAGCAGCCTAACTCTAGTTTAACAAAGAGCAGGAGTCCACAGGGGATCTTTGCACCAAGGCTCTTCCTCTGGCTGCATTCAGGGCTGGACCAGGAAACCTGCAGATGGGTCCATGTTCCACGAGGTGGCCGGCAGCTGCAGCTGGGCCCAGCTTAGCCTTCTAACAGAGAAGCTAACGTCAAGTGTGAGACCAGGTCTGCATCACCACCAGGATGCACAACAGCTAACGGTCACCCATGGCAACACGGTTGCAGCTCCACTCCATATCTTCTGCCTCAAAACACGGTGATGTACAAATCCTTATAAAGGCAACGTACCTCCAGGAGACCGAGATAAGTTGGGAGAAGCTCCCTGCAGTGTGATTATAAACACGTCTCAGCCACGAGGATCGACACCCAGGACGTGTGCAGCAAGTAAAGAAAACACATTCATCATTTTATAATGACGATCTGCAAAGCTGATCCGGGATCAGCCGACTTGTCATGTGGAAGCACTCCCCAGATGGGCTGCACCTGCATTGCCCGAGTTTGTGTCTCGCACGCTTGATTTAAAAGCACATCCATCCTGTGAACCCCAGACAAACAGGCTCAGCGTCTCCTTTATCAGATTCAGAAGCTCCAATTCACCAAGCAAGATGGAATGAGTTTCAACAACCTGGAAGGATAAAAATCTTAAGTCCACTTTTAGACATCTATAATAAATGCCTCATTAGTGAAATGCAATACAGTATGTCTACAGTTGCTATGGCAATGTCACGTGCATCAATGATGTGTAAACATACGTAGAAACAAATGAAGCATAAGTCATAAATCTGATCAATCTTCTGCTACACTGCACTGTGATCCTTAGTGCACTGGATCACATGCCCATTTTACAGTGACCTTTTTCATGTCATTGTGACCGCATGCTGTCTGCTAGGAACATTATACATGACTATGGACGCTCTTGTTTTTATGTACCCTACTGTGAAAACAAAAAGGAATCTCAAAAATGAACCACATTACATATTAGCACCGTGCATTACACATCCACAGGCAGTAAAGGCTGTCCAACAACTGTAAAAGTATATTGTTACATTGATGTCAGATAACACACACTTGCCCAACACTTCATTTTCATACTGCTGGCTGGGAACTGCATAAATAGCCTTGTTAGTACAACAAGCCTGAAAGACCTGTTTTAGAATTGCTTTAATGCTTTCCCCCCCCCCAAATCCCCCAAAGAATTTTGACCAATAGGATGCCGCAGCTGAGCGAGAACAGCCTGGGTTCTCTAGGACAGCAGGAGCAAGGTTACAAATGAGATCAGTTCCTTAAGTCTGTCTTTAAGTGGAATTTGTAGGAAATTCAAAAAACAGGTATGTCTGATTCTTATTTAATGTCATTCAAATGTTTGTCTTGGTAAATAGTATATTTCACCTTTCCATGCATATAAAACATTTAAACGCTTCCAGATACACTAATACATAATAATAATAATAATAATAAACATAATACAGTACATGATATAGTAATAAAAGTAAACAGCACTGTATTGTACCTTGAGCCGACAAGCCGTTATGTCGCACAATGTTTACACGAGTACCACAAAGTGGTGCGTGCATTTGTTATAATTAACCATTGTATTTAAATCAAATTTGTAATATTATAGTCTTTTTGACGGTCCATTCGTAAGTATGAGTTGTCCGTAAGTGAGGTGTTATTAACCCTAGGACTCCCTGTATATCTGCAGCGGCTCTGCCAATGGTCCTACCTCGACAGCCTGGGTGGGCGTGGCCAGTCATGAGCCCAATCGGAGGAAAAGTGCTGTTCAGAAACAAACTGATTGGTTAAAGTAATGCCGCAGGTCATTTAAAAAAACCAATAAAATAATATGTAGGATTAATACGCATTTTGTCGCCAAGTGGATTGTTATGGGATCGGCCCGCCTGATTTTCTGCCGGCTCCCCACATTATGATTTCTAGCTCTCTAGATCTATATGTATCTTTTACACTGTTTGTACTGTAGTAGCCCAATCCGCTCCCACTGGCCTCTGCTTCATCCGCAGCAGGGGAAGCTGTGCAGTCACAAACATCTAACACTTGAAGGGTTCTTTAGACACAATAAAACAAATCAGCATATCTGTGGGTCACAGAGACAGCCCAGGAGAAGGGCGTGCCATGTCAGAAATAGACCTCCTTAGGAAAGTGAAGCAGGCCTAACGAAACGATCATAGCAGGTGATCTGTTAACATGACTGTTCTGTCATTCAGATTCTTGATGCAAATAAAGTAATTCCTGCATCAAATTACTCATCTATAATGAATAGTCTTTTCTTTTACCCTCACAATGTGATCAATGCACATTGACATCTATTGCTTATGCCTTGCAATAAAACTTCCCTTCACTTCAGTCCAGTAAATTGTTTAATCTGGAAAAGCATGTCTTATTGTCTTTACTGATGCTTTCCAGATGATAAGGACTCAAATGGCAGAGATATAATTTGTATCCACACTGACACAACAGCTTGGCAAACTACTGTGAATCTGCCAAGTTTTCAAAAGCACTACCCCCCCACCCCCCCCATTCAAAGACAGCACGACAGACACTTCAGTTTAACCAACAGCAGTCTAAGCACCGAGGGACCTTAGTCACACAAGGACTGATCTTGATAGATGGGAGGGATTGGAATTCTTTGTCCTCTACATGGTTACCTTTGTAATAGCCACACATACACACACAACTGGAGGCATGTTTGGGGCTGGCTCTAGAGATCCGGATAAGATAAACTGATTTGTAAAAAGCTAGGAGACCTTTAGAGCAAAGTGAACCTCCTGTGAGGCTGTGTTCTGCTGCTGGGGTAAACAGACAGGCTACAGCTGACTGACGCGAGTCGTACCAGTGCCCCCCCCCCACCCCCATCTCGCAACACAACCATGGCAGGCAAAGAGGACTGCAGAATGAAGCCAGGAGAGCCTGCTGCTCTTCAGCACAACTCAAATAACTGCCAACACATGGAAACGGCAGCACAGCCAGGCAAGGACAACGGCCGCATTAGTGGGAAAGGGCATGTTGTCGTACCCCAGAAGGTTGCTGGTTCAACTCCCAGGAAACATTTTCCTGCCGTCTCTGTGAGCAAGAATGCAAGTACAGAAATTCCAGAACTA